TGAGTTGGAGTCTCACCCTGTCGCCCAGACTAGAGTGCAGTGACCGCTTCCGGCCACCGCAGCCTCGACCTGCTGGGCTCCGGCGATCCTTCCGCCTCAGCCTTCCGAGTAGCCGGAATTACAGGCATGTGCTACCACGCCAGGCTGATTTTTTTATTTATTGTAGAGATGAGGTCTCGCTGCCCAGGCGAGTCTCGAACCCGCGGGCTCAGGCAATCCACTCACCTCAGCCTCCCAAAGGCGTGGGATGACAGGCTGAGCCACCAAGCCCAGCCACTTCCCTGCTTTAATATGCCTTCCCCAAGTGGCCTCAGGTCTCTGGGTTCGCCTCCTTGGAAGCTTCTTTGATCAGCTTCTGTCTCATTTCCAGCTGTAATTTCCCCTTCCCAGAGATGCAGACCTGACATCCCACTCCAAGTGTAGGGAAACTGAGGCAGAGAGCTGATTGCGGCCACAACTGGGTTAGTGCAGAGGAGTGCTCTTCTAACAATAAAGGCCACAGAGAGAGGAGGGTGAGGTCTTGAGCTGGTGGGAGTGCGTGTGCGTGTGTGTGTGTGTGTGTGTGTGTGTGTGTGTGTGTGTAAGGTGGGCTGCTGTCCAGTCCTCCCGCACCTCTGCAGGAAGCAGGCAGGGCCTGCCCCAGCTCTTGGTGGGACGGACTGCTTTGAGGCTGGCTCGCTGAAGGGGGCGGCTCCCGAGGGTCCTGGCTCCAAGGCAAGACCCTGGGCTGAAGATGGGTCGGATCATCCCTTCCCTCGCCCTCCGGATCCCAGGCACCAGCTGAACACATGGATTTCTGCCTCTGGCTGGCACTGACCACCCACAGCCCCGCCCCCTCTCTGGAGCCACAGAGAGAGCAAGAATTGGGTCTGGCACCTGCGTCGTCCGGGTTGGCAGAGTTGGAGCTCTGGCCCAGCGGAAACCCCTCCGGCTGCCCTGACTTTCACGCCTGGCTCCCCTCAGCCAGACCCCCGGTCCCTTGCCCACTGGCTGCCCGCCTGCGCTTCCCGGGGGCTGCACCACATCCTGGCTCAACCCAGCAGGTCAGAGTCTCCATGCGACCAACGGGCGGCCTGGGCCCCTGAGGGCATCCCAGCTTCCATGCCTGATGCTTTTTGATAGGAATTGTATCAACGATAAGAGAGCTCACTCATCAGAAAACTGTGGTTGGGTGGGCACGCTTCTCAACTCCATCTTCTCTAGGCTCTGCAACAGGCCTGGCTTTTTTTGTTTTTTGAGTTGGAGTCTCACTCTGTCGCCCAGACTAGAGTACAGTGGCCGCTCCCGGCCACCGCAGCCTCGACCTGCTGGGCTCCGGCGATCCTTCTGCCCCAGCCTTCCAAGTAGTTGGAACTACAGGCGTGCACTACCACGCCTGGCTGATTTTTTATT